CTGAATTCTCTGCTCAGGATGCTTCCTGTCCTCTCTCTGTTGCCTATTGATACAAGTATCTGTGAAGTCTGTGCCATCCTGATGCATAGTTAGCCTATGTTTACAGCTGCCATGTATGCTATATGAGAACAACATAGTTTGGTATACACTCTGTTTTTCATATTGCCCATAGGACCAATATAAATAGCAATAATAGTACACCTGGAATAGAAGCATTGTGCTGCTGTTCAGACTTCATAGACATTATATGTAATTCATATATTTCTATGATTATATAGGAAAGAGTGAAAAATAGGATGTTTCACACCTAAATTGAAATGTACTACATAAGTGTAGAGCCCTCCAGCTCCCTTGAAGTTAAAGGTCTTCACCACCGTAGGACCATGGTAGAATGCAACTGTGTAAAAAGATTTGCCATGGCAATTTGGTATGTTCAGCCTGCTGGTAGAATGCAAGCTATGCTTATCACAGTGTTTGGGTGGGATGAAAATTCTCCCATATTTTGAAATACCATGTTTAGGAAGCACAAAGCAAGTGCCTTTTTAAATGTAAGAAGTGCCTACATACACATATTCACCACATTACTGGGTTTTTACATGGTTTTTATATTGTTATTCTTCTGAAATTATATCATTTTTTTAATTGTGTTGCCCAGCGTCATGCAGCTGCCCATCTCAAATTGGGATAATAAATAAATTGTTTTGACATAAATAGTACTATATTTAAAAAGGTTCAGATGTCTCTTTAGTTCTTGGTATCACTGCACAGCAGCCACAGCATTTCACACAAGCCTGAACTTGGCTATAATACTAAGCCCTAATTTGGCTTTTCTGTTATTTATTTATTTTTTTTAATAGACCTGAACCTGCCTTGGCCAGCTAATTGGTCAGGTTGTGTTCCACAAACGTGTCCTTAAAATTATGGTATGGAGATAGCTGCAAACAGCACAGGCTAATCATAGCTTATCCTGGTTTAATTCTAGCTTACTTTGGGTTTCCATTGCTGCCATTCATAAGACTATAGCAAAAACAAACAAACAAAAACCACGCTTATAGATAAATGTGTTTTTTCAGGCTTCACCTCCCCTCTAGCCCACTTAGCTACACTTCCTTTTCCTATTCATCTCCTTGTTGACAAACTCTCCCTTGCCTTCCAGCTTGCTTAGTTTTGTAAAGAAGAGTCTAAAAAGATCATTTACTTACATGCAGGGATACATGTTATTTTGTACTTCTACGTTATTGTGTACTTGTTTTATATTAGCCATTCGTCTTTGTATTCAATCCACACTCATTCATCACTCATTAATTCTCAACTCTATCCTTATTTTATCACACATTTCTTAAGTACCACAATCGCATTACATTGAGCTTACTTTTATCTTTCTTCTGACATACCCAACTCTCATTTCCATATAACAAAGTGGGCAGGAGCAGGCTCTTAAAAATGTCATGGTTTTTTGACAAACATTCAGTTTTAACAACTGACCACATACTATCCACTAACTTTCTATCAGTATTTGCTTGCCTTAAAATGTCTCCATCCAGCTCTGCTCTCTTGAAACATTTGCTAAGCGCTGCATTTATTCTCATGCATGCTTTACTTCCAGTCATAGATCACTTTTACTTCATTCAGCAACCAACCTTTCCATAGTTGCACAAAAGCATTCCATAATTCCCACATATTCACTTTATTATACTTTCTGTAAATCACATGTCATAAACTCAAAGCATTGTGAGTGCCGCTTGAAGACAAGTTCATTAGCCCAAAGACTACAATATTAATATTAGTCTCCAGTGAGTAAAAAATAAAGAGTATCATGGTATATCATTAAATATACTTTTTTTTACAAATGCCATTTCAGTTTGGTCACTTATCTGGCAGCATTAACTAAAGCACCAATTTTGGGTTGGTTGTTGCCAAATAACAACATAAAATCCTTAAATCTAATTATGTGAAATTTGGCAAGATACATCCCCTGTAAGAGGCAACCATGCCTGAAAATTATGTTCAGTTCTGGCAAGACATGAAAATATTAGCTGTTCCCTTTAAAGGAAAAAAGCCTCATGTTTTGTTAATTTGGCATGAGCGACCCACTCATAAGAGGCTATAATTTTTGCAAATAGCTCAATTACAGATTGCATTTGATGGAAAGCAGGCTAAAAAGTGACTAAATAAAAATATTGTGTGACAGAAAAAGCAATAGCCTTTTGGTGTTTTCCAGGTGTATTCAAAGAGGAACACATGAATGCTTGGGATTTTAAAGGTCTCTTTTCCTTTTTTATCCACCAATGTGTTATGGCTGCTTATGTGGATATCTTGGAATGTATTCTACCTGCCTGTCCAAATTTATCTGCTGTCGGCAAAAACTTTTTGAGCATGAGGTTTTATCACTAGTTAAAAAAGGAACAAGAGCCAGTTTAAGATTTAAGCCAACCTGTTTCTCCCTTGCATCACTTAATCAGGGTTCACACCTCTAATAATGTATTTTCCCAGATCACTATGTTGGGCTGGAAATTTTGATTTCTTGCCACTGAATTATTTTGGTGGCATGAAGAAGCTGCTGGGCTACAGTCCTATGCACCAATTTAGCAGGACTGTTTTAATAAACATTTATGAAGCATACCAGATTTAATATATAAATAAATGCCCTATCATCCTGTCCACATTCCATTAATGACTAATGACATACTTAATCTTATTAAAAAGCATTTACCATGAGTTTGAAGTGAAACAATATTTATATAAAGTGGCAGATTGAGAACTGAATGGGGTACCCCTTGATTTCGGTCCATCAAATACGTCAGAGTGGAGATGTTTATGTAAATTCCCCGAGGTTTAAAGAATTTTTAAAGAGAAGGCTGCATTAAAAGAACGGAGAAGCTAAGAGTTGCTTTTTCACTGCCAATTTGCCCTTTGGCGCATCTTTACAGTTGATGTTGGTGATGATGATGATGTCTTATATATCACCAAATATTATCAAGATTCACAATGGCTTGTAACACAATGCATTAAGAGGTCCTTGGTAAGAAATTAACTCATTCCAAATAATATAACATTATACATAAGCAAAACAAATAATTACAATCTGCAATAGATATAAATAGATAAAAGTGCCA